AGATATACTGCTACAGGGCAAAATCATCATCCACATTTCCACCAAGGGGGCGCATTGACCGTGATTATTCCCAGCAGGAACCAATCTGCAGGTGCCAGGCAGTGGATGTCCACCAGCACCCAACGATTGTCGGGTAGAAACACTGAACTGAGCTCTGCCTGTGTAAACAAGGCAGAGCTCCATTCTGACAGGGGGAAAGTGATGGATCTTGTGTCCCTGCAAAGCAGGGAATAACATCCATCTTCATTTGTAAAAGCAACACATAGTGTACACAAAACACATAGCTAGGCACACAGTAAACCCTTTGATTGCCCTAGATGTTTAACCCCTTCCTAACCAGTTTCATTAGTACAGTGTCTGCATACTTTTAGCACTGATCACTGTATCATTGTCACTGTTTCCCTCAAATTGTCAAAAGTGTCAGTTCATTTCGGATTGTCTTCCGCAATATCACAGTCCTTCTATAAGTCACTGATCGCCGCCATTACTAGTATAAAAAAAAATCAAATCAATAAAAATTCCAGTATATATAGCATAGTTTGTAGACGCTCTAACTTTTGTGCAAACCAATCAATAAAAGCGTATTGGGGTTTTTTTTGCTAAAAATATGTAGCAGAATACATATTGGCCTAAATTTTTGAAGAAATTAGTTTTATTTAAATTTTTGAATTGGATATATTTTATAACAAAAATAAAAAACTATATATTTTTTAATTTGTCGGACGTTTTTTGTTTATAGAAAAAATTAAAAATGCAGTGGTGTTCAAATACCACCAAAAGAAAGCTCTATTATTGGGGACAAAAAAACCCATAAATTTTATTTGGGTACAGCGTAGCATGACCACCCAACTGTCAGTTAAAGTCATGTAGTGCTATATCGCAAAAAATGGCCTGGTCATGAAGGAGGTAAATCTTCCAAAGGATAAGTGGTTAACAAAAAAAAACAAAAAAACTTTACTATCACTTTAAGGTTGCGTGCACACTTACGAATGTACCCGCTCGACAGATAGATGCAAGAACCCCAGCATGAGCTCTACGATTAGCTGTTAGCAGCAGCCTCATTGAAACATGCAAGCGATTGGTCCTGGGCACAGAGAAAAAAACTATTCTATCTAAAACTATAAAAAGAAAGATACACTTAGAGAAAAAAAACCTACAATGGTTTCTGGTGATACTGTCAGACGCAGGGGCGGACTGACCATTTGGAAACTCGGGCACTGCCCGAGGGCCCGGGGTCAGTAGGGGGCCCCATGAGATGCCCCTGGTACCTTTTTCATAGGCTTTTTTGAGTTTGGGCAAGGACACAGGGGCCCCATGATCCCCTTTTGCCCAGGGGCCCCATGAGTTGTCAGTCCGCCCCTGGTCAGACGTGATCCAGGAGAAATGAAGTGGGAGAGGCAGACAATCTCAGTAGGGATATACAGTAGTTCAATGAAGTTGTACTAACTTTTTCATTCACTAGGTGGCAGCACTGATTCCCCCATGAAATGGAAAAGCCTGAAGCACAGATCCTGAATTTCAATGGAGTATACACTGATTTGTGTAATCTATTGACCTGATCAGGGGCGGACTGACCATTTGGAAACTCAGGCACTGCCCGAGGGCCCAGGGTCAGTAGGGGGCCCCATAAGATGCCCCTGGTACCTTTCATAGGCTTTTCTGGGTGTGGTTTGAGTGTGGGCGAGGACACAGGGGCCCCATGATCCACTATTGCCCGGGGGCCCCATGAGTTGTCAGTCCGCCCCTGGACCTGATCTATTAAAGTTTACTAAAGTCTACTGTATGACAGTCTAAACAAGTACCACACCAATTACTGTGGTGCATAAGCTTCATAAAGTAAGCAAAAACCTTCTTAGGTTTCACTTAGACACAAAGTTGGGTAGGTGGGAAAAATACAGGGTTGAGCTGCTTTCCTCTGTGCAAGAACTTCCTGTAATAAAGACAGCTCACTGCTGCTCTCTCTCCTTGAGCAAGGTAACTGGTCTTGTCTCCGCCCCCTCCTGTAGTTTTCTGCAGGCAGCCTGTAGTAGGTGGAGCCTGCTGGGCTCCTCCCTCAGCTCTGCTCTCTCTCCTTGTGCAGGTGACTGGTCTTGTCTCCGCCCCCTCCTGTAGTTTTACTGCAGGCAGCCTGTAGGTGGAGCCTGCTGGGCTCCTCCCACAGCTCTGCTCTCTCTCCTTGTGCAGATGACTGGTCTTGTCTCTGCCTCCTCCTATAGTTTTCTGCAGGCAGCCTGTAGTAGGTGGAGCCTGCAGGGCTCCTCCCTCAGCTCTGCTCTCTCCTTGTGCAGGTGACTGGTCTTGTCTCCGCCCCCTCCTGTACTTTTACTGCAGGCAACCTGTAGTAGGTGGAGTCTGCCGGGCTCCTCCCTCAGCACTGCTCTCTCTCCTTGTGCAGGTGGCTGGTCTTGTCTCCGCCGCCTCCTGTAGTTTTCTGCAGGCAGCCTGTAGTAGGTGGAGCCTGCCGGGCTCCTCCCACAGCTCTGCTCTCTCTCCTTGTGCAGGTGACTGGTCTTGTCTCCACCCCCTTCTGTAGTTTTACTGCAGGCAGCCTGTAGTAGGTGGAGCCTGCTGGGCTCCTCCCACAGCTCTTCTTTTTCTCCTTGTGCAGGAGACTGGTCTTGACTCCGCCCCCCTCCTGTAGTTTTACTGCAGGCAGCCTGTAGTAGGTGGAGCCTGCTGGGCTCCTGCCACAGCTCTTCTTTCTCTCCTTGTGCAGGTGACTGGTCTTGACTCCGCCCCCTCCTGTAGTTTTCTTCAGGCAGCCTGTAGCGGGAGCCTTCTGGGCCAATCCAGCAATTCTGCTCTCTGCACAAGCTATGTAGAGCACAGTGATGATGACCACTACATTTACAAGGAAATAACTGGGTTTGCAAATGCATTTATTGCATTTTTATACGCTTAGGATACTAATTAATAATATTTAATTAAAGTTATTGTTTCTGGAGTTGAGCTTTAACTGCCTAGCAGCCTGCAGTGGAGGCCCTGGTCTGGCGGGGATGCCTATATCATAAGACTGATTGAGAAGAATAAGAAATCCTTTGGCTGGTATTCCAGTCTACGTTTGTTCTCCATGGTCCCACTGTATGTAGGAACTTAGCCACCCTCTCTTGCCCAGTCCTGAGAAGGACAATGGGATTTGTAGTGTGCATACAGCAGTGCGCTTGACCACAAATAACACACTCTGCTCGTTCCAAAGAAACAGAAGTGAGGTGGAAAAGGAGAGGTTTGGGAAATTTACAAGGTGGCAGAAAAACACAGAAATGCACTAAGAACCAATTTCATGCACAAATAGATTACAGGATCATTAAAGAGTTACTAAACCCACAACAGTACAATCAGTCTGTATATGCAGTAAAGCATGCTCGTTATACCCACTGTGGAGCCTAAGGGGTTAATCCTCTGCAATGTGTAAAAAGGCCATTTGATCCTGTCTTCTCTGTTCCTCCCCTTTTTCAAGTGACCACCTCTTATCACCTGATAGGAGAGACTGTACCGTAGCCATTCTGCACATGTACAGTTTGGTGTGTATTGCTAGAGAGGTCTTTCTTTTATTTGGAGAGTGCATGTGATCAGCACAGGGCCAATCAGAAATGATCAGACAGAGGTCAGGGGTTTTTGCATCCTCCTAGAGCATAAAGAAAACTCCTCCTACAAGCTTTAACCAGTGCTCTTCTGGACACTGATATATAAGTCACAAGACTTCTATATACTGCTGATGAGAAAAGGTATTTGGCAGTTTATATTTACTAAAATGATTGCATTACCATGTTGTATGTACTGTGGGAGACCAGATATAGTGAATGCAGGGTTCGGGGAGACCAGATATAGTGAATGCAGGGTCCGGGGAGACCAGATATAGTGAATGCAGGGTCCGGGGAGACCAGATATAGTGAATGTGGGGTCCGGGGAGACCGGATATATAGTGAATGCAGGGTCCTGAGGGACCAGATATAGTGAATGCCAGGGTCCGGAGAGACTAGATATAGTGAATGCAGGGTCCAGGGAGACCAGATATAGTGAATGCAGGGTCTGGGAGGATATAGTGAATGCAGGGTCCTGGGAGACCAGATATAGTGAATGCAGGGGGGAGACCAGATATAGTGAATGCAGGGTCCGGGGAGACCAGATATAGTGAATGCAGGGTTCCGGGGAGACCAGATATAGTGAATGCAGGGTCCGGGGAGACCAGATATAGTGAATGCAGGGTCCTGGGAGACCAGATATAGTGAATGCAGGGTCCGGGGAGACCAGATATAGTGAATGCAGGGTCCAGGGAGACCAGATATAGTGAATGCAGGGTCCGGGGAGACCAGATATAGTGAATGCAGGGTCCGGGAGACCAGATATAGTGAATGCAGGGTCCTGGGAGACCAGATATAGTGAATGCAGGGTCTGGGGAGACCAGATATAGTGAATGCAGGGTCCGGGGAGACCAGATATAGTGAATGCAGGGTCCGGGGAGACCAGATATAGTGAATACAGGGTCCGGGGAGACCAGATATAGTGAATGCAGGGTCCGGGGAGACCAGATATAGTGAATACAGGGTCCGGGGAGACCAGATATAGTGAATGCAGGGTCCATGGTTCAGTAACACTTTAAGTACTGGATGAACTTTGGAGAATGAGGATATCAGTTGGTGTCGTTGTCACCACAATTCACCGATCATCGGTAACATGAGGAATAGAACAAACCTCATAGTGCTCCACCCTAGACATTCAGGAGAAAATTCCAGAGATCAGGGAGTGTTTTATCTCGGAATGACTCAGTGTTTGATTTTATGACACCAACCACTGCAGTTATCAGTCACTTAGTAACTGGTCAATGGGTTATAGTATGGAGCTTTGTATACTGGGGTGTATATAGTATCAGTGCCTGGTAAAGGAGGACTGCAAGCAGCTTGCAGAAAGTAAACAGTTTCTCAGCCGAAACCAGGGCACGGAGGCATGGCGATAGCTGGCACCCTGCTGCTAATAATTTGTGAGCTTCCATTGTGTACTGACAGGTCAAGTGTTTTTTTTTTTCTCAGCAGCAACAGTTACCCTTGTGTACTGATCCTGTAGGAAATGTCCAGCCTACCGAGCCTTACATAAGAGATTTAATGGCATCGCTTCACAGTAAAGACAAGGGGGGGAGTAAGGTTCAGTTACAGCACTTAAAGTGGAACTGCCATCAGTCAAGTTAGGTATTCATTCACTTTGTATAGGATAGGGAAGGGCAGGGCGGACTGACCATTTGAGCACTCGAGCACTGGCACCTTTTTTATAGGCTTTTATGGGTGTGCTTTGAGTGTGGGCAAGGACACAGGGGCCCCATGATCCCCTATTGCCCGAGGGCCCCATGAGTTGTCAGTACGCCCCTGGGGAAGGGTTAAAGCGGTGGTGGTCAACACACTTGACATAGGGGGCCTCAAGTGCAGCTCCTGATGTCACCAAAGGGCCAGATCTAGGCTAGTTGATCTGGGGGTGCAAAATGTCAACACTGTGGGATTGACTTACTAAAGGCAAAAGGACTGCGCACTTTGCAAGTGCAGTTGTACTTACATTTCCCCAGAGCTTAGAGAATGAAGTGAAGCTTCAAGTGGTTGTAAAGGCTCAAGGTTCTTTGCCTTCATGTATCCTATGCCTGAAGGTGTGTGCAGCAGCCCCCCTAATAATTACCTGAGCCCCAGAGTGATTCAGCGATGTGCGCAAGAGCTTTGGCTCTCCGGGGACCAGGGGCGGACTGACCATTTGGAAACTTGGGCACTGCCCGAGGGCCCGGGGTTAGTAGGGGACCCCATGAAATGCCCCTGGTACTTTTTTCATAGGCTTTTTTTAGTTTGGGCAAGGATACAGGGGCCCCATGATCCCCTATTGCCCAGGGGCCCCATGAGTTGTCAGTCCGCCCCTGCCAGGGACTCTCCCTCTTCATTGGCTGAGACAACATCACAAGCTATTGGCTCCTGTGAAAAAGAGCCAGTGAGTCAATGAGGAGAGAGAAAAGGGGTGGGGCAGAGTCACAACTCTGTTTGTGAATGGACTTTGAGAACTGTGGCTCGGGAACGAGCTGGATTAGGTGCCCCCAGAGCAAGCTGCTTGCTCTGGGGGCACCTGGAGGGAGGAACAGGCCAAGAGCACCCATGGGGAACCCTAGAATAGGAGGACCGAGGCTGTTCTGTGCAAAAGCAGTGCACAGAGCAGGTAAGTATGACATGTTTGTTATTTTAAAAAAATTGCCTTTAATATCACTTTCAGTTTGTAAAGAATACCCAATCAGGTGCAAGGAAAACAAAAAAACAGCATTTTTGCTTGAACCACAAATTACAACCTAGAGGGCCCTCCTATCAGAATTCAGATTTGAACCCGGAACCTCTGCATGTCTAGCTGTGGCTTTTCTTACTGAGCCACCTGAGATGCTGGGGAGCTCCCTGCTTGATCCCTTGGACAACCTTACATTGTCCACTGCACAAAAAAATTAAAGGAACACTTTGAGAACACATCAGATCTCAATGGGGAAAAATCTCATGCTGGATATCTATACAGATATGGACTGAGTAATGTGTTAGGAATGTAAGGATGCCCCATCGTTTCATGGAAATTTGAAATTATCAACCTACAGAGGAATAAATTCAAAGACACCCCTGTAACGATTGCGGTGTCACACCCGAGACCTTCTTACCAAACTTGTGACCAAAGGACTGGCCAATCTGAAACCGCGATGTCACGTGTGTGTAACAATGCCACACCCAGCTGCACCCTGCACAATGATTTTCCAGCTAATTTCACCACAATCGATGTACCGGCAGCCTGAGCGATTGTTACTGGTTCAGGTTAATTACGCAATTAACTCTTCAGACTGCCTCCACCTCCTTTTTGTACAGAGAAAGAGGAAACTCGGCGATATCAGCTAAAACAGTATAATGGTTGAGATAATCGTCTGCATAATACGATCACCGCAGGCCGATTATGCAGAGGGTTAAAAAAACACAGTAGCGTTCTCTTTAGAGGCAGGAATTCGTAAATTGCAATAAAGCGCTATAGAAACAGTTCAACACTTTCAGAAGGAAAGATTTGTTACTAAAAGGTCAAACGAGTGCAATAAAAATATTTACAGAAAAAGATGTAACTAAGATATATATATAAATATACAGAGACTAACAGCACAGCAAAGAGATATCAGAGAGAGGTAAAAGGGTTAAGGTACTTGCCAAAGTCCTGGATTAGCAGATCCAAGTTTCAGAGCAAAAGGGCACGGGTCTCCCCAGGTGGTACTGATGTTAAAATGGGAGACGTCTTCAACTTAACTCTCTTAGGCCTGACAGCCTATTTTATAGTTCCCCAGCAGGGGGTGTCTCTGAAGTTAAGGACCAATACCCCGTTTACGGCATGGAGGTCTGGGCAGATACCTCAACTAGAGCCAAAATTTCCTATAACTCATATTTTGGCCCATAACTTTCCATCTGCACAAGTGACATTCCACCCACAGGTAGATTAATATGCAGACACGTCAGAGGATTGATTAGATATGAATTATGAAATTATACACTGAATGGTTCACAAGATCTACTTTTCTGTTTTCCTATGTATTCGAGACAAGGCGAGTGACCTACCAAACAGTTCGTCCTCTTGTGGCCAATCTGACGATATGTCCGTTTTCTATGTAAGTCTCTCATATTCCAAGATATGAGACATAGGGGAAAAATGGATTTTAACAAAGGTTATCTGGTCATGTTTCCTTGGAATGTTCTTTGAACTCCGGGGAAAGCTTGCCTTATCTTATACGAGGTGTTAAATTGCACAGGTTCTTTGGACAGCTAGGTCCTGGCTCAGAGAGGTGTTTTATAGCTCTGGGCTCCCTGCTACCTCTAGCCTGCCAGTGACAAAAAACCAGATGTCACTGTGGCTGAACAGAGAGGAAGGGGTAGAATGAGGGGGGGGACATGGCGAACTCTTAACAAAATGGAGGCTGCGTCCTTCACTGTGTGTACGCTGGTTACACTTATTACCGTCCTTTGGCCCCTTTACTGACTACTCTTCTTGTTAATCCCTACCTGCTATTGTACCCCAATTTTCCTGTACCTGTCTACAGATTTTGTTGAGTATAGAAGGTACTGGATAAAAGTGTGAAAGTATTGTGAAAGTCACATTCTTGAATTTGTTGGCTATGGAGGATTTGTGTGGAAAATAAATCACCCAGTCCAATTGTTCAATAGTGCATAGGACTCTCAGATTTCCCACTTGCAAATGAATAGTTGACCAAGTCATCAGACTGCAGAACAGAAGGCTGTATATATTGGGTACTTTGGAAAGCACATGTCTGATTGGACTTCCCAACTTTCTTAGAAGAAATAGTGGGGGGCATGCTTTTAAGCACAAAATATGTGGCAAAAGAACACCGCTGTCAGATCCTGTATTTATGTAAAATAAATGATTGGTTAAATCCACATGTGCTTTTTTAAAACACTAATTTTCCTGTATCTTGTTTTTTCAATTTTATTCAAAAGCTTTTGTTTAGAGCAGCCATAGTCAACCAGGGTTCCTCCAGCAGTTGCTAGGGGTTTATTGAGCTGTGACTGATTGACCTCCCATTTGGTAGTGCCTGCATAGTTCTGGGGCCAATGCTACCAGGCAGAGCCAGCAACCTGAAACTAATGATATTTTTAGCTGTCTGTAAGAGCAATATTTTTGACAACCACTGTAAGGTTTGCATTCTTCCCAGTGATCACCAATGTAAGGGACATTATTCCCACTGATCACCAATGTACATCAATGTACACTGGTGATCAGTGGGAAAAATGTCCCTTACGTTGGTGATCCATGGGAAGAATTCCCATGGATCACCAATGTAAGGGACATTCTTCCCACTGATCACCAATGTAAGGGATATTCTTCCCACCGATCACCAATGTAAGGGACATTCCTCCCACTGATCACCAATATGAGGGGTATTCTTCCCACTGATCACCAATGTAAGGGACATTCTTCCCACTGATCACCAATATGAGGGGTATTCTTCCCACTGACCACCAATGTAAGGGACATTCCTCCCACTGATCACCAATATGAGGGGTATTCTTCCCATCGATCACCAATGTAAGGGACATTCCTCCCACTGATCACCAATATGAGGGGTATTCTTCCCATCGATCACCAATGTAAGGGACATTCTTCCCACTGATCACCAATGTAAGGGGTATTCTTCTTCACCATCGATCACCAATGTAAGGAGCATTCTTCCCACTGACCACCAATGTAAGGGACATTCCTCCCTACTGATCACCATGAGGGGTATTCAATGATCAATGGGGACATTCCTCCCACTGATCACCAATGTAAGGGGTATTCTTCCCATCGGTAAGGGACATTCCCTGATCACCATTGACCATCGATGTAAGGAACATTCCTCCATTGACCCGATGTAAGGAACATTCCCACTGATTACCAATGTAAGGAACATTCTTCCCAATGACCTCTGATAATCTGGTTTAAGTAGGGGTTCCTCAAGACTTGAAATTTATTTTAGGGGTTCCTTTGAGGGAAACCATTTGAAAAAGGCTTAGAGGCTGCTTGAAAGGTTTAGTGTAGTAAAGCAGCTGCATAGACGTTATTTATTTATTACAAGTGTTTATATTGCTTACAATCTATGCTTCCTACTTCGAATACAATTTAGACAATAAGTTACCAGCATATCTTGGGAGTGTGAAGGAAACAGGTACAGGGAGAACAAGAAAACTCTGAGAAAGTAGTGTCCCAGCTGGGATTCAAACTGACGATTCTAAAACTGCGAGGTAGGCATGTTAACCACAAAATCACTATACTTTGATAGCAGCCATTGAGAATCTCAGGCTTGCAGAATCACGTACTTGGCATTTGGTGTTCCCTGAACATGAGGTTGGATTTTTACACAATGGGGTGGCTTTCTGTTCCTGTCAATGTCAAATGTTGGTAGTTAAGTAGCGTATTGTTTTAATAGCAGTCTATACATACCAGACCAAATAGACGGACAACTGAGTGGACAGAGGGAGTTGAAACCAAAAAGGGACTATGGCAGGAATGCTAGTTGTCACATTTGCTTGTGTTCTCAACCAAACTGTCAAACCATCAAATGTCAGATGTCATAACTCATCACACGTGCAGCACCATGGCAGGTACAGAGAATCTTATTCTCTATAAGATGGCAGCTTCCTTGGCTGAAAAGGATAGGAGGGTTTAGTTCTGCTTTAAGTGGACTTCAATGAGTAATCAACCTCCAAGAGTACAGCACATGTTCACTTTAAAGAAGATATGTCATTACAGAAAGGGCACACATGAGTTTAATTAAAGGTCATAAAAGAAACTGATATCTTTGCAGAACAATTATGCTGCTCAAAGTTCACTATTTACAACATAACTAGAGACATATAATCAAACTTGAAATAATACAACTGTTTACCACATAATCACCTCCTAAATTGTTTTTAACTAGAAGTATGCCAGTGCTGTCTGTAATGTTCTGAAAAAAATTGTAATGGTTTTGGGTTCATTTCAGCAAGGGCACAGAGGGAAAACCACATTGCTAGATGTCACAGTGACAACAGTTTACAAACAAAACCATGTGATCATCATGTCATAACTGACCTGGAATCACAGGGTTTGATTCCTGATGGGAAATAATGTTGGTTCCTAGTCTTTACTGGGACACTGAAGGCTGTCGATGATAGCATGCTCCTAGCTGTAAAAGCGACCATACATTATCATTCCTCAACATGGGGTGTTGTTTTGGGGAACATTAATCTATGCATCACAGAAAGGATTAAACATTTAAACTAGATGAATAAAAGGTGACTGTTGTTAGCACCCCTGGCCATGGTATGGGTTGACCCAACTCCTTTCATTGTCACAACTTGATAGACA